TCGGAGGGTACTCCAAAGTTCCGATCGCTTTTGCCAGTTGGGTGATGGTATACGGCGCTGCGGACTGGTAGAGTCAGGGTGCTTGGGGGAAAGGTAGGCTAGAGAAGGTAAGTCACGGTCGGACATGGATGCAAATGGGCTTCGAGCATTTCGTCGATCAGGAGTGTTAGGAGTGTTGTTACAACAAGCAAATGCTGGGAGCCACGGAGGCGTCTCAAGCCTTCAAGGATGATGGATACAGAGGAGGTGCGAGTCTGTTTGCGGTTCCTAGATCGTGCAGCATTGTCACCCCTCACAGTACAGTGGCGAGCCCTCATGTTGATGATTTCGCATTGCTGAGTCACGCACGCGAAAGAGCGTGTTTAAGAATTGTTTTTTTGACAGTGTTCGTAACTATACAAGAAGACTTTGCACAGCTACATCTTCAGCATCACTGACAAAAGATGTGAACTTTCGAAGTGGTTCGCCGTGAGAGGCCTCATAATGCGTTTCAACCACGCAACATTCTACTAGCAAAGTCATACCTCGCATGCTCTCATTCTTTTGCTCTCACTCTCTGTCGCTCTCGCTCTCTCTGGTTCTCCAGCTTTCCAGTTAGAATTCCCTAACATCGAACGATTTGCGCAGATACCAGACCTGGTCTTGCCAGACGCAATGGACCGGGATGCATGTTGCAGACTGCCGTCAACAAACCTTGATTGCACGTTGTAGCTTCAGGACATCGACATCTTTGACGAACTTGAGGAGATGCGCCCGAAATTCAGTGTGAAGGCTTCGTTCTGTGCGTACAAGGGCTGATGGGTACTTCTGTGGCAGCAAATCCGCGCCAAAGCGGTGCAGGCCTTCAAAGGTGTCGAGCAGACAAACCTGCCACAGGCGTGGTCGTGGCGCCTGGTATTGGCTCTCAGAACTTGGCTTCCTGCGTGCAATGCGCCACATCTCCACTTGACTTTGGATGGGATCAACAGTCATAAAGCTGCAGGAGCATCGCAACAGGGACATCCTCAGCCTGCTCGGCCCAGAAGAAGCCGGGCAGAAAGGTCGCCTGTTGCAGCAGTTGTTCTAAGCAGTTTTTCCGCGTGTTGTCGCCAGCCGGCTTTGGGCGCTTTGTTTGCTCAGTGGAAGGGCAGGCTTGTGACCGGCTGGTGAACTCTTACTCGACGTGCAGAAAGTCAGGGCATTCCACAAGGTGACACATTCTTCGTGATCAACAAGCCGTTTATTTATCATTGATTCTTTGCTGGGTGAAAAGATGTGAAAAGTGTAATCGCTCCATATCACTCAAATGGTGTTCTAAGTAGGCCATTCCCAGAATGGTTGAAAGGATGAGCTGAATGAGCTGCCTCAAGCTTCGAAACGTGGCTGAGGTCTTGCTGAGATGTCCGTCGAGAAGCCCAGAGCTCAGGGCCAACCAAGCTGCCCGATGCAACGTTGGCCTTCTTTTGAACCGAAAGTGCCATTCAACTGGCAAGCCAGGTGGAGTTCTGTCGCGGCTGATGGCCGCCGCCGCACCTCAACATGCTCGACTGTGGCTTCTCTCATGGACATGGAGCCCCAGCGAGGGGCAATCAGGCTGCAATTGAGGGACCTGTGTGTATAGACTCCCATAGGCACATACACGACAATTGACAACATTTGCATTTTGGAAAGTCTCATCTTGGCGAGGACTGGATGTGTTTCCCCTGTTGTGGGGCATTGTGGAGCCGGATAGTTCGGAAACCGTAAAAATGAATGTAGCGCCTGGCCATCAAGGGTCGAAAGATCTCCTGAAGTCCGAAGATCGACACGCCAACGCCGGCAATGGGGGTAGAATTGATACGGGCAGAACCACCACCCTTGTTATCAAAGAAATTGGGATTGGCGCTCATGGCGCTCCATGAGGCTTCGGGTTGCCGGTAAGTTCATTATGGGAAATCGAGGTTCAGAACGGCGGCTTTCGGAACAGCCAGGCGAGATTTAGCCTCAATGATCCCTGCCCCATCGATGGCTCCGAGATCTGTTAGGAAGCTACGGGGCAAAAAACAAAACCGGCCGAAACTGTCACATGCGAAGCAAGAAACCTACAGCTCCCAACCTCTGTGCGCATTGTGATTTGCAACATCTGCCCTGCGCGGGAAGGATCGCAGAGCCGATAGTATACGCACACACTTGGATGCACGTGCAACAGTTGAGGTGTTCTGTCGATACCACCATCTAGAAGCAAACCCCCCAACACGCCAAATCACGGCACATTAATATTGCCGAGGCACAACGGTAAGGCTTTAGGTGCGGTGTCTAGGTGTAGGTGAAGGGTGCACATATCAGATTGCGGTCAGAACCGTGCCCGGCGCGCATGCGAAGAACGTCACAAGCGCGATAGGCCAGGTATATGTCGTCCCAGTGTCCCAGAACGCTCCAACTGTCTTCGTTGCCAGCATCTGCCAGAAGAACGGAAGCATTCCCTGCCATCCCCTGCTCATGTACTGGTAGCGCTTGGCCCGAAGTCACTAAGGTAAGTTTCTAGCTACACCGACACGCATGCCAAGACGCGTGGTGCATGTACAAGAAAATTTCTTTTGACGTTGTACTGTACGAAGTTGTCCCAGGAATACTCGATAACGAGGATGATGTCTTCGTCGATTCTCAAAGTCACATCTCCATACTACGCGGACGTTGCAAGCCGGGCGCCAGGAACAACCAATGCTTCAACCGGACCGATGGGTTGTGTGCAACGTGGATAGGTCCCTTTGCAGGTCCTTTGTCGCTATGATGCCCGGGCATTGCCGGAGCTTGGAAATGGAGGTGCGCCTATCACCCAACATGGTTGCACGTGTTTTCGTAGGCTTGCTTCATCTTGTGTTGGTGCCTGTTAGTGCTGTTCAGTTGCGCAAGCTATCGCAAGCTTGTGAGATCTTGTGAAAGCGAAAGGTGAGGATCGATGCTGTGCACCCCAGGCATCCCCAGGCTGAGTATGGCATCTTCCGGAGCCTTATGGCAGTCGCCATACCAGTTCACAGCCTTAGGTCGCGGCCATTACCACGTGGCTGAACCAGTTGAACCATTGCATTTGTTCAGAAGCCGTAGCTGCAGCATGCGGTTTAGCTTCCTCTAGGTATGAGAGCCACGTGGGCCTGGCAATTCTTTTAAAAATCTTACATTCTTACATGCTTGCCGCCTCCATAGTGCGGACATTGCGGACATCGAGCCTGGCCAACCTCGAAACGAATTAGTTTAGTTTAGCCATGAGAGCAATGAGGTGAACTTTTTCAACAAGTGGCAACCCCGCAGAATCCGGTTGAGCCGGTGTTTTCTTCGCCAGTATGCTAGTGAGGAGATTCGATGGCAGGTGCTGGTTGCGAAGCAAGGCACACGGTGCAGGTTGCATCTTTTTTGTCAGATTCGAAGCAGCGTTCCGCAAGGTTTTGGCTTGTTGTGGCTTATGCAATTAAAGAGCCTGGCGCCTTGGTACTGCCAGTACCTTAATTCAGACCGATCGCAAGCAGCGGGTCTGGGGCGCTGGTGTTGTAGCAAAGACGCCAGTGGCTAGGTGCGTTGGCAGGGGTTCAATCGTGGCTGCTTGGGACGGTCAACGAGGATTGGGAGTCGAGAGTCGAGGCCATCGGTTGAACGGTATCCCAGGGAACTAGGAGCCCAGGTGCATGTACGCAATGCCACTACATCTGCAGAGGCAGCAGAGATGCCTTGTGAGGCTTCGATTTGATTGATTTAGCCCCTGCATGCCCCTGCGTTTGAACATCTTCCTGAATTGGTCTACATGGTACAGCTCTGTGCGCTGGCGCCGTTTTCCTTGCTGCAGAGCCCATCGCTATGTCACCTGCATGTTCAGCAGCATGTGCAGAGTCATATTGCGTCGAAGGTATCTAGCACGCGTGTCAATTTGTTCAGAGACTGCATCTGCTCAGTAAGTCCACGCCTGAACTGGTGGACCGGATGTGGAAAATGTGTTGAGCATTTGGCAGCTCTTTGGACAAATAGTTTTGTTGATGCGCTCACAGACTTGACGCATGAGGTGTACAATCCCTCACCCCCGGCTGTTGAAACATCTGAGACTTGTAAGACGAGAAAGTCTGGATGTCAGCGGCACACTCGCCTCTTGTAAGGTATGCATGACCAGGTCACGTCCCATCGAACCTACTCCGTTTGCCGAAGACTGCGAAAAGGCGGTGCTGCGACATCCATCAAGCAGGCGCCACATTTTCAGCACATCTGCTGCCCGCTCGTTGTGTTGAACTCCTAGCGGCACATATCACCCCAGAGCTGTCACAAGCGCTTGCGCTTGCAGTGATTTCATTCTGCCTGTACAGTTTATTCCCCAGAGAACTGAGAGCTCAAAAAGTGTGCAGCTTCTAGTGTTCCCAGAATTGGTGCGAAGCCTCTGACTCACGAACACTATGCTCTCTGGATTTTGCATTCCATTTTCTGTCGGGAAGTATCAGTAGCTTTGGGAATGATTGGGATGTGTGGAGGCGGTGTGGTCTTTGGAAAGATGTGTCCTCGAAGGAGCACGATGAGGAGCTGAAGGTAGTGGGGGTGGGTCCCGGGGAGGATCAGCGAAGGGCTGAGTCTTGAAAGCCACCATAAGCCACCTGTATGACACAGTAGCTCGGACCTGAGCCATGCACTGTTTTGCCGTTTCGCCGAGCTGCGCAAGTGACTCAACTCAAAAGTCGCTCAGAAGTCTTTCAACAGTCGCTCAAACAAGTATCGAACATGGTTTTTTCTCTCACTTTTGCGGAGTTGCTAGATTTTGGCTCAGCTTTGTCATGCACGTGTCTGATGTAGTCACCTTTACGGTGCAGTCTAGGATATTAAGCATTCCATTAGCTAAGCTCAAGCCACCTTCTGCCTGCTTATGGAGATGATCGACCTCAAGTTGCCAAGGGCTGCCCTCGATCTAACACGCCTGATGTGTTGTGGCAATTGTGGCATTTTCACATATTTTCAAAGTCCAGAGCAAATCTAAACTTAAATCTAAGCTTCGCACATAAGCGCGCCCAGAGATGACCGAGACGGCCGAAGACTCCGAGGCAGGACTAATTAGTGATTCACAGTGACATGAAGTTCATGGGATAAGCTGCGCCAGATCACGTCTTTCAGTTCTGTTGCAAACGAGCCCGAGTTGGGCTCCGGCTTCAAGTTTCAAGTTTCAGGACTCGCATGTCCAGAGGATCTGAAATCGCAAGCAAATCATGAAACTGACATGTCACGCCGCTGCTGTCGAAATCTGCTGTCGAGCTGAAACCCTCAAAGCCAGACATTCGTCATGTTTTCATTGAGCATATTTCAGCATGCTTCCAGGCCTTGATGAGTATCAGGAAAGACAGGTGTGTTCTGCTTTCCGAGTTGCCATGAACTAGTGTGGTATGCTAATTGGTGAAGGCCCGCATCCCCCCGCCCTCCGCCTTCTGAACAATAGGGGGATGAAGATCTGAGATCTGCTGGGCATGTGCCAATCCAACACGAACGCCTGCAAAGTTCTAGCCGTAGACTACTTTCCTGTGCGCCTGGAGACGAAACAGAAACACGCAGTGAGGTCAGCAACGTTTACAGTTTACAGAGATTCGCGAGGGATAGCTCGAGGTCTTCTGCACCACTCGGACATAACCCAAATGGTGTGAATTTCCGAGTTCCTGGCTGCTGGGCTGATAGCTTCTGTGCGTGCCTTTTGGGCATGCTGCATGCGCTTCAGTTTCGCCGCCATCCCTGGGGCGATTGGCTGAATAAACACATGACTGTCTCCCTCGTTGCATGTGCAGAAAACCATGAAGACCTGCCCAGAAAGGAGGTGGAACAAATCGACGTTGTTGTGCGTGGTGTGAATGGCGAAGAGGCGGGGATTGCCGTTGCTCTTTGTTTGACTGAACAGAGAGCACTTTCAACTGTCGAGATGCTCCTCCGAAAACAATGTGTGCAGGTAGCCGTCCTGCAGCTCCCAGCAGCAAAGGCTACCATACTGGACGCGAAGGCCCAGGGTCTTTTGCTACGGCCAGTCTGCACTTGAGCTCTATGCGAATCTTCAGATTGCTGCATCCCATTATGTCTTGCACCTTCCACGCAAAGCTTTCGTCCTCGGCACGTCTCAGCAAGAAAACCAAGGCAGCCCCAACACAGTCGCAGCACCACAGGTTGTGATCCCTCAGCCTTCGCCACCCTGACATAAGGCCTAGGTAAATTGGGTAAACTACATTCGATCAAACGGTCTGCTGGCATAGACGGAGAGGTGGCATTGGGCTCTCAGCTGCTTGTTCCGCTCTACACGTGACTCGGTGTAGCATTCTGATTCCGCCAGTGTTTTGTCAGTGATCGCCTTTTCAGTTGCTGGAGTAGCGTGCATGAACGAGCTCCGTCTCCGAGGCAACAGCTTTTGCTGTCATCCAGCGAGCAGGTACTGGGAGATCATGAAGAGCTGTCCCAACTGAAAGGCCACAAGGGCAGCTGTTGCTGAACTGTGCGCTTCGTGAAGACCACATCCGAGCATATCTTGGAGAGATGAATGCGTTATGGCAGACTTTTTCCGAAGCGTAGCCTGCAATGGCCTGCATATCCTTCAAAGCCTGAAAAAGCCTTACACCGTTCTTGCCAGGGCCTCTGTACTGGTTTTCCTTCTTTACAACGACAAGAAATACGCGAGCGCTGCAGACCAGGAATCACTCAATGCACACACTCTGGACATGGAGAGTGCGTGTTGAGAGTGCAAGGACTATGCTGCAGAGAGTTTTCACATCTACTGCTTAGCATGTGGAGTAAAAATCGTGTGTTTTAGAAGAGGTTGCGTTGGAGCATGTGCCGCACCCAGAAAACGTCCGCTATGCAATCCGTTATGCTCATAAGTAGAACATTAATTCTTGTGGGCTGTCATGGTGTGCTGGTTCCCTTCACAGCTAGAGCAATGTTAATGGAGCCTATGACGATGTGTGGTTTTGATAATATGCAAATGCAATCTAAGACATATTCCTGAGACAATGAGAAGAAGAATGACATCTACTACAAGGATTTTCAAAAAACCCTTATGTAAACTGGGCAAGGCATGTGGCAAACAGACTTGAGATGTTGCAGAAAACCGTCTCAAATGATGCCCATGCCAAAGTGAGGTGAGCTGCGATTGACGAATATTGAATGGAATTGAGACCATTGACGCTTAATTAAGTAGGCAATCAGTGCAAAGAGTATTCATCAATGGGGACCAGTTTTTTGGCCCTTTTTTTGCCCTTCCCCCCCCCCCCTCCTCTCCTCCCCTCCCAAACCCTAAACCCTAAAACCCCCCCCACCCCCCCGCCCCGACCCACAGAACCCCCCCCCCCCCCAAAAAAAAAAAAAAAAAAGTCCACCCTTCACCAATGGCCTTGCGACTTGACTCATGATATTTATCTACGGAGAATAGGATCATTCCCGAAGATCAGACAATTTAGCTGCCGTACCCATGCATCCACACGTACTGGCATTTGGCTGAGGCCTCAATTATTTAATGGGAGATCAAGTTCGCCTCTGCTGTGGCAGATTCGAATGGCAGTGGTAGGAATTTCAAATCCAATTCAGGAGGTCAAGGATCCGTCGGCGTTCGGTTTAAAAGTCTCTTCCGAATCTGGCGTTTTTGCCTACGTGAGTTATAACTTCAGTCTGACCTAGACCTATACTCCTCAAACGGCAGATGAGAAGGAGTCAAGGGCGCTGGCAAGGAATGGAAGACATGAAAGCGAGCAGGACTAAGGAGCTCCCCGTGGCCCGGTTGGAAAGCATGGACAACTCGATCACCCTTGGGAGGCTGTGAGCCCACCCTGGAGCTGTGCTACGTCCGTCTGGCCTTTGACGAGACTGAATCAGCCAAGCTTCTCGTCCACGCCGCGAGCTTGGTCCAGACATGTCCAAGTGTTCGAGCCTTTCCTTTCTTTTCATGGCCTCTGGGAAGTTGTTGATTGTCGATACGTGCTGACACGTGTATCTGCAGTGAGCCAAGATCAATACTGAGCATGAACGTTGTCTAGTGACCCTCGCCCCTTGCATGTGCAACTTAGGCATGGAGGGGTGAAGCCTCGGAGGTCGAGCGCCCCTGGCCTGTCCCATGTCCCATGAAGTTCGTGAAAGTGTCAAAGCAGTGACTCCTGGAACTCCTGGGCTCCAGCCCTTTGCCCTGCGCTTGCTGGAATGGCAGGCGATGCTTGATTGCACGTGCCTGCCCAGACCATCGAAGTGAGGAGGACCCCAAGATGCCTCCGCCAAGGGTTTCCGCTGTGGCAAGTGTCGCACCTCAACACTGCATTGCTGGCATATTGCATGACGTTGCTATGCAGCATGCTTTGCATGCAACAAGTTAGATGCAATGCAACATGCTTGTATGTCAAGTTGTGTAAGAAGGATGGCCGAACTGCGCTGCTCTCTGCGGCTCTCCAGGGCCACATCGAGGACGGTCGATGGTAAGAGAGATGTCCGTGAATCGGTGAAGATGTCCGTCTCAGGTCGCCAAGCTGCTGTGCCGTGCTGGTTGGGCACCAAGGCACTGCAACCCAGAGCAATCCCGCTGTCAATTCGACAGCTTAGGCGCAACTGTTGACCCAGAAGAAAGCGATGGTGCTTCGCCGATGCTTCTCGGCTGGAAGCTTGCTATTTTTCACTGGGCTTGCGCCGGTTTTGTGATGTGCCGGTGCATCGAGCTTGGGCTACCCTTGTGAGGAGCGCGTCTCGGAAGTATTGACCCCCCAGCAGAATGAAAAAAAATACAAGAAAAATACAAGAATGAATTCAAGAGAAAATACAAGTAGCGATTCAGGAACAACGGTGAAATACAAAAAAAATGCAAGACAAATACAAAAAAATGCAAGAAAAATACAAGAAAAAATACAAGAAAAATACAAGAAAAAATACAAGAAAAATACAAGAAAAATGCAAGAACAATACGAGAAAAATGCAAGCAAAGGAAAAGGAGGGGGGGGGGGGGGGGGGGGGCGAGGGGGGGGTGGGGGGGCGGGGGGGGGGCTTGTGTTTTTGTCGTATTTTTTCCGTGTTTTTTCGCGTATTTTTTCCGTATTTTTTCCGTGTTTTTTTTTCGTATTTTTTTCGTATTTTTTCGTATTGTTCCGTATTTTTTCGTATTTTTTCGTATTTTTCCGTATTTTTCGTATTTTTTCCTAGTTTTCGTGTATTTTTCGCGTATTTTTCGCATATTTCAAAGTACAAGAAAAACACGAAAAAAAAACACGGAAAAAACACGCGAAAAATACGGAAAATATACGACAAAAATACAAGACCCCCCCCCCCCCCCCCTCCCCCCCGCGCCTCCGTGCCTCCCTCCCCCCCCGCCCCCCCCCCCCCCCCCCCCCCGCCCTCCCGCCCCCCCCCCCCCGCCCGCCCCCCCCCCCCCCCCCCCGCACAAAAAACACTAAAAAAAACACGAAAAAATACGGAAAAAATACGAAAAAAATACGAAAAAAACACGAAACAAACACGGAAAAAACACGCGAAAAATACGAAAAAAACACGACAAAAACACAAGCCCCCCCCCCCCTCCCCGCGCCTCCGCGCCTCTTGTATTTTTCTTGTATTTGCTCTTGTGTTTTTCTTGTACTTTTCTTGCATTTTTCTTGTAATTTTCTTGTATGTTCCTTGTATTTTTCTTGTATTTTTCTTGTATATTTCTTGTGTTTTTCTTGTGTTTTTGTTGTATGTTTCTTGTATTGTCTTGTAAGTTGCTTGTGTATTTTTTGGTAATTTTCTTGTATTTTTCTTGCACTTTGTTCGGCTGGTTTTTCTGCGCTCGTATTTTTCTTGCATTCCCCGTTTGTATTTTTTTGTATTTCTTCTTGTATTTATTTAGTTTTACTAAAACCCAATACTTCTGGCACCACGCCCGTCACAAGGCTACCCAAAGCCCTGCCCCACTTCTTTACATTCCACCCGAAGCACGGGATCTCCATGTGAGTCATGGCCTTGATCCGGTATATACACAGGGGGAGCAGCACGTCATTGCCTTGTACTGCGCATGATGTCATGTGTGTCACCGGAGAGAAGGAAGGCGAATTGAGATTCGCCAGGCTAACAAGTGAGCCAACGACTGTGGCGAGGATCACGCTGGAAGTCCGATCATTTGGCTTAGCAGAGCTTGAGGACGCCGGAGTCAACCTCCTGAGCTGCCATCGTTCCAGCTTATTGAAGGATTCCGGGATCAGCAACGTTTGAAATGGAGCTGCCCAACCCTGCAGCGCACAGTGCACGTAAGACATGCGAACCTCGGCTGTTGCTCAAATCTCTCAGTAGGCGTTTCTAAGCTGCACGAAGCTTGCCAGGCATTTGCACAAAAAAACGACAACCAAACAACCCCACGCGACAACGTTTTAAGCAGCAACGACGCGAAAATTCGCAGCGTCACATGAGGCCTCAGAAATCTACATGATGTGACGTTCTGTGGGTACACTTTGCACGATGCCAACGAAACAAACGCGCCACCTATCAGAAACGGGCTACAGAGACGGAGAGATCTTAGAAACAAAATTGTTCCTTAGATAGATACGGCAGAGAGAGACGGAGACAGAGAGATGGATAGTACACATCTTCGGATCTCGTGCCACGCATCGTGTCTGTTATGTTCGCCGTGTATGATGCTTGTCTGCAGTCTGGTTCGGGACCCCTATCATGTTGTCGGAATGATACTTGTATCCTCTGCCTCAGCTTCGTTCTGTCCTTCTTTTGCAAGCAGCTCGACTTTGCCGCAACTGGAAGCCTGACTTCGCTTCCTTCTCGTCCGAGGCTTGCAGCAGCCATGCAAGGAAGACTGGAGGCTCCGCCACCCCAAGCTACCTCAAGCTCTTGAGGACATGTATTTCGTCGCAAGCAGCAAGGACTTGTGCTTGAATTTGTTGAGCATAACAGTTAGAATTACGGCCGCAACGACAGGAATCGGGAAGTGGGCCATGGTGAAACGTTGAGGGGGTCCTTGTTCATCTGGAGCCTAATTGTTTTATGGGTTGACAAGAAATTGATAAGCATTGCAGCTGGGTGGTCAGACTTTTCCCGTGGGCTTTCCAGACAGCATCGACCGAATGAAGGCTTTCCGACTTGTTGAATGGAGGTGTATGGAACATGTGAAGGATTGCAGTGGAGAAGTGCCAAGGCAAACAACAGAAGCACTTCTTTGGTGAATCTTCAAAGCATGTGTCTGCTCTCAGAACCTCTATGCTCCATGATATCTGACAACAGGTTCTGAGGCTGCTGGATGCTGCAACCAGGGTGCACCATCGACGGTTTTCTTACAGCTCTTGTCTGTCTTCCCTGCACAAGAATGTGGCCAAAGCGCGGGGATGCAATGATGGCAACCTTTGGTGAACCGCCTTTCTGTGGGTTCTTAGTTCCGGTCCCATCCGAAGTCTCCTTAACAGCACGCATGCCAGAATTCCACTTTGGGAGCATCCAGGGTTTTGTTTGTCTTCTTGACATCACAATCCTGGACTCCTTGTGAAGAACGGACCCGCCCGCCTAACTGACCCAAATGCAGAAATCACATTCACTAACAGAGATCCCACAAGACGGAGAAGTTGCAGAACTCCGAGAGAGATGGCTTGCGTGAGAGTCTGAGAGTTGCACTGTCAGATGGTGAAGTTCCTGGCTGACGCCAAGGCCTTTGGAAAGATATGAGCTCCTCAAACACTGCGAGGGCTCACAAAATTGATGTCACCTTGATCACTGAGCACGTGGTAGTGTGGAATCAAGGCGCTGGAGGTTTGAGCGTGACAGCTGCAGGCTGCTCTTGACCGCCCGACTGCCAATGGCACAACGCCACTGCACGTGGCGTCCCTGTACGCTTGCCGCGATTGGGGGTTGTCGTGATGATTCTGCAGCCCAGACAGCTAATGAAGTGTTGCAATGTCAGTCTGAGATGGCTGATCGTATTTTGACTGGTGAAAGGCAGGGCCATTTGGACGTGGAAACCTCAGCTGCTTTTCAACTTGGGGATGGCTTGGAAAGCATTTACTCGACCTCTTGCTGCCACAAGCGTGGAGTTTTGCTGTGCCCTGTCGAATCTGTCGAATGCCGGAGCCGTGGCTTCAATCTCTTACCAATCTTTGCTGCTGATTCATAGGCCGCCCATTCCCGTGAATTACTCTCTGTGGGTTCGCTTGCGGGTGTCCATTCATCTCGGGCGTTTTGTTATTCACAAAGTCTTGTGGATAGCGGCCTCACAAGGGGTACAATGTGGGCCCTTCAGTTATAACTTAGTAAGCCCAGATACATGTAAGTTATATCTTAGTTAGGGAAGTTAGCCTCAAAAGTATACTAAAACAAACCTGGCCTTGTTAGGCGACAGAAGTACAAAAGTCGCTCGCGGCATTAATGAGAGAGATACGCTTATGGATATGTGTCTGATGATTTCTTTACATAGATGTATAATTGACACACAGTGTTTCGTATAGATACATATATACTTATCTTCTTCGGTGTGTATCTTCTGGTGGATTGGGCTTCCCTGCCTGAAAGAATATCGACACGGTCCGCGTGTCGTCCGGTCGACCTCCCCTTGTAGCTGGCCCAAAAGGAAGTGTCGACCTTCGCTTTGCTCTGCTCCACGCCATGGGCACACATAGTCTATATAACCTGCTCGGTATTCAGCTCCAAACATACCAAAAGACACTGCATTATATTTCTTTACGTGACATGCTTCTAACAAAAACATGTGAAATCCTGTAGTTTCCACGCTACCCCAGCCCTTTCTTAAAAAGTATATGAAACATAGCCCTCGACCTCCATGTGACTGAAACCTTACAAAATACAGCATTTTTCAGTTATCCAAGTTAGCTAACTGGCATGACTTAGTTATAACTGATCGCGTCCAGTTATCCAAGTTGCTCGATTTATAACTCTGACAACATAACTTATAAGTTACGTTATAAGTTATGTTGCACAAGATAGAACTTGCTCTGTAACTAGAGGGCCCCACATTGTAGGCCATCAGATTAGCTGGGTACAAATTCCACAAGTAAAGTAGTGCGGAGTCGCATTTTTATGCTGCTACTTCAAACTCAGTGCAGAGATTGTTGGCCTATTTGAATAGCCTGCATCCTACTGAGTCACCTGCGGTTTGTTGCGTTGTTTCACAATAGACAAGCACTGCAAGGTCAATAACGCAGGGATGTTCTCAACGTCCCAGTGACTGTCTTTTATCTCCCTGGGCACCTTCAATCTTAAATTTTGGATCCGAGCTGCTTCCGAAACATTCCTAACTACATCGTGTTGATTTCTAGTTTAGCAATATGTGCCCCACTTCCCGTCATCTTCAATCTGCAGACGGATTGGGGCTTGCAAATGGCGATTGAGATTCTTGACTGGCCAGGTCCCAGTCCCTGGGAACCATGCCGAAAACCGTGGAACAGTCCTATCAGGTTGCTTAGCAAAGCAGTAGCTCTTACAGCTAACAGCTTGCCTTCAACATCCTAGAAACCTACGTAACATTCCAACCGTGGCTCTCGAATGCTAGGGAGGCTCTTGTAAAGCCGAGGCTTGAAATGAAGCTCTCATCATGTTTTAATCTTCCTGACAAGTCTTCGGCAAGTTCTCCAAATATCCAACTCCATGTACTCATTAGAGAATCCTTTGCATTAATGCTTTTCCGACTTCTTCAAAACACGTAAATATGACACGCGTCAACTGCTACTAGCGCTGGTGAGTCCTTTCCAGCAAAGAACATGACGCACATCTGGATTGAAGGATAGGGATTCTCTTGAACATCAGGTTTCGCTGACGGGAGCTAGGTGACCATTCTTTCTAGTAGCTTCAACACACACTTCGCACTATGACTGGTACGCTAGATGTGTTGCTTCGTCCGGATTTGTTCTTCGTCTTTCCTTCTCAACCTCTTTGCCATCTGTTGCGTCTCTTCCTCCGAGAACTCGGGGTCCATTCCGACAAATCTCGCTCCTGCAGCTCCTTCCTTTTGAGCTGGAGCCAACTCTGCAGGTATCTCTCTGGTTCTCTTCGACATCCGGTCTCTTTTCTCGACAGACTGCTCTATGCCTTCGTATAGGAACTCCGCGAAAGACGTCTGCTCTTCGTGGATGAGGATTACCGTTAACAAGTGGCTTCCTCTACACTCCTCGATGACCTTTCCGTCAGACGTCGCTGCGACTCCACTGACACCTCGACGACTAGCCATTCTCCAGGTCCTTGCATGAGCGACGTAATCCGACACGTGGTCTGACTTGACACAGACCATTCCCATGCCAGGGCAGGTCTTTCCAACTCGGGTGTTCACGTAATGTCCACTGTCCAGCTTAGTCCATCATTTCTTTCCTCGCTTCTCCAATTCCTGGGCGGCTGCATGCTGACGGTTGCCCCGCGATACTTGGGTGCTTGAGGTTCGTCCAAAGACGACGCGATTGTTGGGCTGTTTCTATTGATAATCACGAGTTCTAGTCATTTTCGGATGATACAAAATCCATATGTGAAGCGCTCTTGAAGCATTCAATATGCGAGCTCCTTTGTAAATCTCACTGAATATCGTTAGTTCATGTCTGTCAACCATCATTGTGTCAGACTGTGTCAGCAGTTGGGCAACTCTTCCGAGGTTGTGACGTACCTCTGCCAGTCCGGGGCGGTGTGTGACAGGCGATTGAGTTGTCAGTTGCTCCGTCATACGTCGATGCTATCCATGGCAGTGCAGAGCACAGTAGCTTTGAAGTGTTTAAGTGTATGTGATATCAGTTAATATTGTCCTCATCGACTGCGCTTTGGTCAACAGTATAAGTTTACTTGTGACATGCCGCAGAACGACTCCTGGTGGAGCCACGCCGCTCTATGTGTGAAGCACTCAGCTCGTGGGGGCATTGTATCTCAGCTGCTGTTGTTGCCGTAGCCCGCTGTTTGAGAAATGCATCTACTACAACCAAAATCTTCAGAAAGTGCGCCTCACAAGCAGGTAAGCTGCCAATCACCAGGTGATCATTCATCGAGCGTAAATTGCATGTAAGCAGGCTGAAGAGGCAGGCGAAGATATGCGAAGATAACATTGCCTAGGCTCTCAGCAGACATTCCAAATTGCAAGGTCATGTTACAACGGGCACCTCCCCATCGTGCAGTATCTTTGCTCACAGCGATCAGATGTCTGCAAGAGGCTCTTTTGAGCTTCTGGCAACATACCATGACGTTGCATGAGCAAGGAATGCAAGGAATAGCCTGTTGCGGGCATGAGGACACCTACGGGTGCGACCTTGCTCCATGCAGCAGCTCAGGAGGGGCAGCTCGAGGCTCGCATGTTTCAATGGGCAGTTTTGGGCAGAGATTTGATAGCCAGAGAGCACAGAGGTATGACTGCGAATTCCCTTGTTGACAGCTGCTTTGCGTTGCTTGCCCTCCAGCCCACAACAGCCATCGATTTTCGGCGTGCCTTGAGAAGTTGAAGGAGACAGTTGCAAGAGCCACGTATGTGGCACGTATGTGGCACGTCCAAAGACCTTGAATGAGTTAGTGGTCATATGTGCACCAGGTGGTTTCTTTCCTGTGCGAGATGCCGGAGGTGGATAAGGCCAGGCATGCCAATGTTGCGCTCCGTTATGCTCTCTTCTTTTCCCCTTGCCAGTATGGACTCAGTGACTTGCGTTTATATGCTTTCATAAAGTCGTATGTGAAGAGAATTGCAGCGAGTCGCTCAGCTATTTGGAGGATGCGCAGATGCTCGATGGGGCCACTCCGCTATTGGCAGCAGCCCTGCAGGGCCACGCGACTGGCCTCGGACATGCCCCCGAGTAGCGCTCGAATCCTTTGTCCATTCAAGCGTGCGAGGATTCTAGGCATTCTTCCAATTGCTTCTGAGGTGAATGTGGTGTCTTGCTCTCAGTCTCGGCATCTTAAGGGTTTTGCACAGCCCTTGGTACATGAGAAACATGTTATTCAGGACGGCGATGGGAAAGGATTTGTTTGCATTCTGTTTTGAAATACAGGTGCGAGGCATCTCCTGTCGGGTAGGATGGCAGGTGTTAAGCATGACCTGAGGCAGCATCTGACGCAAGTGAAAGCAGACATACACAAGACCACGAAGGACAGAACGTTATTGCTAGGATGGCTAACCGATACAAGGCGTTGAATAAATTGCAGCATGCTAGGGCCGATTCAGGCAGATTGCTTTCTTGCATCACCGTGACCCTTGTGCACCCTTAGTCGACCCAATTTGTAGCTAGACAGGACGAAGTCATCGTTTACACATCGTTTCCTGCCCTGAAGCATCACAGACGCAGTGTTTGCCTGCGCACGACGGAATGCCCAAACAAGTTCGCTCAGACAACTAGATCCGACACCTTGTGCAGATTTGTGAGATAGGCGATCTGCCGTCCGATACAGGTACAGCTGCAAGAACCTCGGCGCATCATGTGTTTTCATGGTAACTGCTGCAGGACGGCGCTTCTGCTCTACACGCCTGCGCCCGTCACTTGACCCAGAGCGTGCAGCAGTTGCACCGTTTCGTCCTGGTCGGTGCTGTTGCAGCCAGCCAGCGCAGTCCGAACAGTGCAGGGCGAGCACACGTGCTGTCATTGTGAGGGGGTCTTGCAAAGCAGATGCAAAGTGTTGATTGAGTTTTCAAGCGCGTTTATAGTGTACGCAGGTGTACACCCCCTCTACCAGCATGCGAGGGTCTATAGGCAGTATCATGTCTTTCCGAGATTTGCCGAGTTTGTCCCCATTGGGAGCATGGAGTAGCAAAATCTTGAAGTCAAGGGCGATGGGGCTACCAGCTATGGGCAAAGACCTTCGAACAAACGAGAGCGATGCAAGTGTGTTTGTTGTCTGGGACTCTTTCCCCACCAGGCTCCGGGCACGTCGATGTAGCACGCTTTCTCTGCGAAGCAGGAGCGGACAAGGAGACCCAATGGGCGGGGCACAACGGCGCACATAATTGTAGCCAATAAGGTAAACGAGCTTTAAGCGAACGACTATGAGCTTTTTCTCGAAGTGTGACAATTGTTGACAGTTGTTTTCAAAAACCTGCCCGCATCGCTTCACTTTGCCATGAGTGCATCCGTGGCCACGACGACAGCGAGATCGTACGTTCCTTCTGCCGCACGATCAGGCAAGTGCCTGGCACTTGTGCAATCTGCCCACCGCTGCCCCCAATGCCATGGGTATACTTGGTAAAGGAGCACATAGGAGCACGTGACCGGGCACAGTGAGATCTAGCAGATTCTGTGCCAAGTTTTCCACCTGCCATCGGTGTGGCTTTGGCGATTCGGCCAGCTCCAATGCCTTGGACTGCAAAGCGCCGGCAGTTGATGTCCTACGGGCCTCTTGGGGCCATGTGGGTAGTCTCAAGCTGTGTTGAGAAAATCTCGGGCAAACACCAGCGCTCCACACGAGGAACACTCTCAGTCAGTACAAAGCAAAATAAAGCGGCTTCTCTGAAGATTGAAGTGTGCTTGGTAAACAAGGCCCAAAACTAAAGAGCAAGAGCGGAATGCTTGAAATCCGTCAAGAAAACAGCAGCGGATCTCCACTGCGAACAGGTGCTAGTGACGCATCACCTTGTGCAATTTGCCCCACGGACGCTATAGGCTTCGAGGGGGCGGGAGGGGGCCATGTGGAGCAAACCTCGCCACCCGGTTAGGAAAGCAAACGTGCTCATGCGTGCTCAGTGCACATAGCAAGCGCGCGGGATGCTCCAGATCAGTTCAATCCACACTTGTTGCTCATCGAGTACGACGTAGAGAGAGGCATCGCAGCGTACCTCGCCTTCGCCTCGTGGGTGAAACCAGAGAGAGGCCCAACTGCCTCGACTAGCTCCATGTGAAAACAAGCAAGACGGTCAACTTTGGGGATTGCCACGAAACGGTACAAAGTTCCCAATCACAGTTTGGCTTTCTATGGCTTACGATGCCAAGCAAGGCCTGGAAGACATACGCAGAGCTGATGCCAGGACATCGCGAACATTGCAGGAGCCGCTCGCCCACCCGAGCGACGCATTCGAAAGCTGCGGGCGGTGTCGTTCGTAGTGGCGGCCGAGGTATGCGTCGGGCCAGCGTACCCAAATGTTGTTGAGCTTCTTTTTGTTGGGTTCCGCCCCTTGGACCGGGACAACAAAACCGCCACGAATTAGCCGTCGCCCCAAGTTTCTTCACGTGGCTACCCACGGACGGTCGTGAGCATGGTGGTCAGAACGCCGTTCTGCAAAGCAACGCGTTCAGAAGATCGAGTGGCTGGTGGTTGCTATGCGCGACGGCGCATTTCAGCGTCATCAAACGTCCGAGGCTCTTGTTGAACCGCATCCCGTGACAGGCGGTCAATCGCCAGAATATCCCTCGAGTTCACGCCGGACACGAAATATGATGCCGACTAGTGTGGCCAACTGTCTTGTCGTAGTACAGCCCCTTGCCATGCATGACCGCGTGATCGGAAGATCCATACGGGCGATTGGGGACCCCAAGATAAAGACAGACCGGAGGCACTGCTGCTGGTCTCTCCATGTGTCTCCTATTATCAGGGCGCCATGAAGCTTTCCTGTCTGCATGATGAATCGTTTCATCCTGCCATCTTCTGAAGCGTGATAGAGCTCCTGCTTCGTCGCTAACTAGTCTTCACTACCTGCCAAACTTTCCTAAGACTAGCAATATCGTGTCCAAAACGTCGGGACAGGTGCTTTTTCGAGCAGAGCTGGCAGATGAATGATGATTGCTGTTGTACTCGCATTGCATGGGCCAGGATCGCGCGATGATGGAGGGGGCAACCCCTTTACTGGCAGCTGCATTGCAAGGTCACACGGAGGTCACAAGCCCAGTGAACACAGCCAAGCTCAGTATGATTGCAGTTGAAGCCCGTGTCGCCCGAGCTCAGCATGATAATGAGGGCGATGTTGTGACAGCATGTTTGCTCCGACAGTAGTTCACCCAACTGTTGGCAGATCCTACACACCAACGCCAGATGTGCTGGCAGTTGCCTAGTAATGTTATCGCGTCCAAGTGCTCGGCATCTTTACAATGGTTGCCTAAGCTTTCGAATTTTCGAAGCCGTCGCACTCAGATGCCATGGTCTTCAGGCTTGCGCGTCGCAAAGCATACCATGCTCAGATGCAGCGTTGCGAGCGAGATCCAAAGATACGGTGCCATGAAGCCCCATCCACAAAGTATCGAAAGCGTATTAAGCTGCAAAGACGTCAAGCAGCTTGCCCATTTTCTCAAAACGGAATACCCCATACGGTGTGCAGAGCGAATCCAGATGATAGAAGCATTGCCGGGATGGTCTGCGTCTTCGGAACTGCAGGAGGTTCATGCGCGGCATTGGAAAGCATTCGTTGCAATGCATCAGATGCAAGGCTCTGACGATCTATCTCTTTTCACTGAAGTTGTGGATGACATCGTAAGCAACAACAAGGATGTGGTTGCGTTGATGGCCAAAGCCATGCAGTGGCTGTCGCAGGACCGACCCAATGTTTTTCATGCAGAGTTTGTGGACAGCTTCCTTGATAACTTCCTGCTGAACCGACTTGGCAGCAATGTTCTTTTGTCGCAGTATCTTGCCGCCGTAGACAAGACAAGACTTGTCGTAGGTACCATTGACCCGCAATGCGATGTGACTGAGATCTGCAGGGACAGCGCAGAGGAAGTCCAGCGTATTTGCAAGTACTACACGCAGCTGACTCCATCAATCTCGATAGAAACACATGACGTTACCACGGACGACGAGTCGGACTTGAAGTTTGCATTCATTCCGGGTATAGTTAGCTACATCGTGCAAGAGATTTTGAAAAACAGCGCTCGGGCCACACTTCAACACCTTCTTTCAGAAGGCGACGTGGACCAATTTCCCATCAGCATTGTCGTTTCTGGAGACCATAAGCGAGTCATGATCCACGTCAGTGATCGAGCAGGAGGAATTCCGTTTGATGTCGGCCAGCATGTATGGTCATATCTGTACACAACAGCTCACAGCGACGTCAGCTGCTTGGCAGGGTTCGGTGTGGGCCTGCCGATATCTCGGCTCTACGCAAACTACCTCGGCGGTTCGATGAATTTAGTGTCCCTTCCAGGATATGGGACTCACGCTTACGTTTATTTTCCTCGTCTCAATTCGGAGCAGGTGGAGGTAGTTCCAGACAAAGACCATCCATGGAAGAAGCCGGACAACTTCATTCTGTGAAGCTGTGTCTTGAGCGCGAGACATGGTTGCTGGCATCCAGGCTGGGAATGCTCGGTTCTCGCTTGCCTCTTGTCTTCACTTCTCCCGATGGAACCTTCGAACGTTTGCGACTTGCCATCACGGTATGTAGTGCATCGGCCGAGAACTAGGCGAAGAATGCCGACAGCACAATCACGCACAACATCGCACAACCCAGAAGTCCTAAGTGATTGAAGGAAGAACATTCGAATATGACACTGTGAACGTCTGACTCCGAACCGATGGATGCCTGCCGAAAGAGTGCGAAAGCCCCCTTCATGGCAGGCCTTCATCCGTGAAACCCCCATGAATCCCATGAAGCCTGAAATCAGAACCTCTGGCTGTTGCTTTGATTGGATCTTCGTGTTGAGGTCCTAGGACTCGGGCCCGAGTACGACCCGAACTTTTTCGGCCTTGATTGTGTATCCTTCCAGTTGTCTAGTAATGCAGAACCCAAACCGACCTAAACTCTCGTGCCAGCCTCAAGCCCACCTGAACCGCTGTTGAACCGAATCAAATGCGACTGGTAGTTTGCAATGGCCCTCTCCAATACCGTGGTTTGGGTTCAGGTTCAGAGAGGGCAAGCCATTTCGCATCGATTTAGCTTTGATCGACGCACCTTTCGGCAGACGCTTCGGCAGCTTCCGCGAACTTGCCTGTGTGCCCAATGCACAAGGTGGTTCGATACCTTTGCGATGCTGGAGCCGACAAGGACCTCTGGCAGCAGAACTGCGGTTGCTTGAACCTCGGATGGGAGGCACTGCGTTTGCTGGCTCGTGTCATTCCTGTGCATGACAATGACACTCACTCGTGGACAGGATCGCACCATCTGCGATGGTGTGACTGCTTTCCATGCAGCTGCAGAGCAGCGGCCACAGTAATGAACCATAAGAGGGTCGTTGCTCTAGGCTTCCAGGTTTTGTCGTCAAGTGTTTTTTCATCAAGTCCATGGGTGTGGCACAGAGCTATCAGACGAACTCAGAAGCATCGTCGAGTCAAGCGACACCAACAGCAAGGACCCACAAGTCGCCGCAGTTTCTTCCTGACCAACTGAACAGAAGAAGTTGCACAGTACAGCTCTTCCCTTGCGGTCTTTGCCCCCCCCCCCCCCCCCACACAGGTGACACGAGCCATATGTCACAAGTTGCAGTCGAAGCCAAGCCCCAAGCCAAGTCCCAAGCCCAGCCCCAAGCCAAGCATCTCCAAGCGTCTCCAAAAGCTGCAGGCGAGGTCATGCAGAGGTTGTCCAGTGCTTGTGCGAGGCGCAGTGTTGTTCTCCAAAAGAGCCTTCTTCGGAAGACTGCTCGAAATCAGCTCAATCAGCTCCGACTAGTTGAAGATGTGCAGGTGGGGGCTGACAAGGACAAGGCCATGCGAAATGGTCTGACTCCGCTGATGGCTGCCTGCCTTCAAGGACACGAAGAGGCAAAGAGTCCAAACAACGGCGAGTTTTGTCATGCCTTGTTTTGCACATTCGTGCCAGAAGCTTTTAGAGCCTCCTGTTTTGCAACTCAGCTTGCAGCATCTGCTTCTCTAATCAGGTTGCACACAGCGACTGGTGATCCTTACAGAAAAACCGCTCCGTGCCTTCTCTGTGACAAAGCAGGTCGTGCGCGTCCTATGCGAGAATGGAGTTGCCAAGGAGACGCCTATGCGCGAGGAGATTCTCGGGGAAAGGGGGTCTGCCTTCTTGAGGTCAGTTCGGGCTTCGTTTTCACATCATCGTGTGGGGGTCCAGATGCTTCATCCTTCCCGCTGATGCGCGGCCTTTTCCTCCGCACTCCGTGCACACAGACAGACGTGGCAAATTTCACACACCCACGCATGAGGGCTTTTGACTCTACCAAGTTGCATACCTCGTGCTGAGTTGTCTTCAGTGGGTCAAGCGCTTCGGAGCGCTTAGCAGCAAGCACCTATGTGGAATTGTCGGGCTTGTGGTCATCTCTATTCACGCTCCTGGCGACATTCAAGGAGTTGGGGACATGTCCGTCCGTCCGTCCACCTCGGCGTGTCCTCAATCTAAACTCGGCTAAACTCGCAACGATCACACTAAAGCGGTGGCTCTGCAGCGCCCTGCAAGGTTGGGTCCAAACAACTTGGGACTCCGGGAGATGGTTTTACTGCAAGACAAAAGCAATGAAATGCCGGTATGCGCATGCCGCGAAGTGTACGTCAGAAGAATGTCGGGTTTCAGGCTTCGCCTTCATTCATGCCATGACGCACGGTGATGTTTTGCTTTGTTTGGGCCCATGCTTGTGCAACTGGACGGTGAACATTATGAAGCCTCTCTGCAGGCATATGTCATCCTATTGCAACGATCCCAAGGGATTCAAGTAGCGGTTTGCAGACTCAGAACGTTCGCCAGTGCATTCGCGGGAACTGCCCTTTGACGGGAAACCAGAACCGTCAACAACTTGGCGTGGCAAAACGATAATTATCCCCAATTCAGTGACCAAATCCGAGTGCGTGTGCGCATGCTTCTTGCCAGAGCAGATGGGACGTGTGTGTGACCGGCGACCGGATACTGTATCTCTTGTATTGAGAAGGAAGCTGATACAAAACAGGCTATGTATTTGGCCGCGCCAGCCGGCAAGCAGGGCAATGTCAGTCGCACGACCTTGCGATTCCCCACGGAATTGGGCGAGCCTTTGGGAAGCAAGCAATTTGGGTCGCAGTCTGTGCGCAGTCAAGACACATGTGTAACAGGTTCTGCATATAACAGGTGTGCGCGCAAAGGCGCAGTAACATGTGTCCCGATGCGCCTGCGTGTGCGGCTTCTATTGATTCTACTGTGGATGCGACATGCTTACATACAGACCCACTCGATTGTGTTCGCGCACACATGTGCTCGGACGCGCAAGCATGTGCGCAAACGCATGTGGGCATATGTGCACATACGGATGTGCGCGCACAGACTCTAGTCTAGAATAGACGCGTGCCCCGAGAGGGGGGGGTGCGCGCGGACGCGTGTGCGTACAAATGCCATCCATGCGATATATACACACGTGCGTGTGCGTACGCATGCATGTGCCTCCGAGCACTTGTACAGCATGGCACAAGATAATTAGTTTTTGCTTAAGCATCGGGGCAACAATAACTGTGCAGTCCGGACCTTGCGGCCATGGACACCCTTCAGCTTGGCAGGTGCTTGCGCAGCCATGCATTAAAGCGCATGCACATATGCGTGTGCAACAGCACATACGACACATACATGTACCCGGAGGCACACGCATGTGTGCTAGCTCATGCGCACTCGCATGCGTGTACGGGCACACATACGGATGTATGGGGACAGATGTTTTTTGTGCGCACACATGCATGTGTGCGCACGTCGTGCCCAAACATGCCCAGACATCGGTGTATGCGCAGAGACATGTATCGTTACACGGAGTGGCGTGCCATGGCGTGCCAACTTGCAGCATGGCAAAAGATACAGTAATTAGCCTTTGCTTAATACAGCATCCGGCCAACCACGGTGCAATCGGTATTCTACATACGACACATCGTGCAGGAGCGATAGTAATGGTACTAGTTGCTCTTAGAGCACGTCTGGGCGCGGATCTGTCCACTGCCTTGGGCGTCCTGAAATCGATGTAGGACCCATCCCACATTGTAGCATTCGAACTTTGGTGCCTGCTGAAGCGCCCGTTTTTGATTTCTGTGTGACTTACTGGTGCTCGAAAATGCAGAGATTGCGACTGGTGGGTCCTGCCAGGTCCTGCTCCTGTAACGTAGCACAGACAATCCAGGGATGACAAATGTTGTTGCCCAGCTGTGTTCTACACTTGTTCTCGGGCCCCACGCGCTTGTAGAATGATCGGCGCTTGACCTGCGTCAACCAGGTCGTGACTTGCCCTTCCATTCTGCTGCTACTACTACTACGGTGCAACCCTATGGTTTGCCCGCGCTTGTTTTTGGAAGGTACATAAAACATGCGCAGGCGCAGCGTTTCTGGCCTTTGCCGGCCTTTCAACAGTGTTCTTTTTTTCGTTTTTTTTCTTCATAAACGACGACCCTCTGCGGGTTTCCCTGCGTTCCGGACTTCGCAGAACCCTATGGTTTGCCCGCGCGCGCGTCTTACGGTTTGGGCTTTGGAGTGTTTCAGGCACGAGTCCAGCACGAGGGCTTCGGTGTTTTGTCGTCCTGGGCTTGAAGGAAATAACACTGCTTTCGGGCGTGGGTTCAGGCTTGAGGCGTAAGACAGTTTACGGCTTGCCCGCGTCTTCTGCTTGTGGGCAACGAACAGCCAAAGCCTAAACCTTAAACTCCAGAAGTTCTTGGTCCTATTTCATAGCTCAGGATTTCGCAGACGACTCGTCTTGTGGCCACCACACTACTGACGCAGTCCCGTGCTTGTTGGGTCGCGCGGGCACAGGTCTGCGGTCTGCAAAGGCGGACACGGCCCTGGCATACGGGAAGCGGGGCGCAGACGCTGGCCACCTGCTTCGGAGGCAGAAAGAAAGCCTCCTCAGCGAGCTGCCCAGCGTCTGCGCCCCGCTTCCCGTATGCGGGGGCCGTGTCCGTCTCTGCAGACCGCGGACCTGTGGCCGCGCGACCCAACAAGCACGGGACTGCGTCAGTAGTGTAGTGGCCACAGGACGAGTCGTCTGCGAAATCCTGAGCTATTAAATAGGACCAAGAATTTCTGGAGTTTAAGGTTTAGGCTTTGGGCTGTTGGGTGCACGCTGACATGCTGCGGCAAGAGCTGATTCAAGCATGCTTGTCCAAACCCACGCTTGACCACTGTGTGTGGGCAAACCACCCGGTTGGGGCGTACTACTACTACTACTACTACTACTACTACTACTACTACTAATACTACTACTACTACTACTACTACTACTACTCCTCCTCCTCCTCCTACTGCTGCTGCTGCTGCTGCTGCTACTGCGTATACTGCTACGTCTCACTACTACTGCTATTCTTTATTAAGCACCATTACTGCCACCACTACCATCCACTACCTGTGCCTGCAGATGCGAGGACGTGGTCCTGGCTAGTGTCTCGCTGACAAAAAGCCAGCCGCGATCTCGAGTTGTGGTCTGCTGCACGCAATGGAAATGTGGCGCACCTGGCACCAGTGTGTTGCCATGGTGCAGCAGTTTTGAACTTTGCGCAGGCCGAGTTCAGACCTCTTCTTGTGCGATCCCGGCAAACATTTCGCCGAGGCCACGAAATCATGACGTTTTCGATTATTTCGCATTGCTGTGGCAGTGAAATGCTGGGGGTCCATCTGGGGTTGCAGAGCATAACGGCAGGCTCGGCACTCTCGAAAAGGCAAAAACTGTTTCTGAGCATAAGTTGCAATGGCTTGGGCATGTTCACAAAAGACGCCTGCGAAAGCACGTCTTGAAACGAAATAACGCACAAAGAAGCAAAAACGCTGTTAACTCCAGCGTTTTGGATGCGTTTTGGGCATGCACGCAAATGATCAAGAAGCACGAGCGGGGGTGGGGTCAGGTCGAGAGGGGGGGGGGGCGACCACACCGAAAACATTGGTATTAGGTATTTACAGCTTGTATGCCCATCCTGGCCCTCACCCTCCCTCCAAACGATTCAGGTTTAGAAGTGGCAGTGTTTAGGGTTAATGGTCTAAGGCTGAAGAGATGAAAGCATGTTTCAGTTTCAGCCAGGTCAATACAGCAATCTCGTGTTTAGGGCATAGGATGGTTTAGGGTTTCGGGGTGATGGTCAAAGACGAGCCGTTGGGCAAATTCTTGGAGGTTTGTTGGAATACGCACGCGGAGACGGCGCACGTCAGCCTCTTTTTTGCACCCCCTGCGCCTGATCCCCACCTGCGAGCGTGAGCACTGGAAGCTGCGCGGCAAAGTAGCAAAGCAGGGGTACAGCGTTCGCAGCGATTGAGGTGTGATGTCACAGTTGCCGCGGCATCACTGAGCAGACCACGTGGAATATCTTGTGGTTTCCAGCGTGTTTCTCTACATCTTTTTGTCGTAGTTAGCCTTAAATCGATGTGCCTGGTGCTTTCATTCGTCGGGTCAGGGCGAGAAGCATTGCCGGTTGATGCCTCAAGTCTGCTCTTGCATCTTGTTCCGCTTTCGAAAGTGGTCTCGGAACTTCTTAGGCAAGGTGCGACATCGCTACATGTCGCTGAACCCTTACCAGTCTTTCGTCCGTAGAGGTCTGTGGCGCAGTCAGGAGCGAAGCGTTTGCCGAAGCGTTTGTCGATAGTGCCACGCTAAGGCAGCACTTCACGGGCACTTGGGTGTTGTCAAGCAGCTATGCGCCCACCTAAGTTTTGACGGCGACAACCTCGCGTGCAAGGATGCCGTGAATCAAGCCAAGGCAGTGCGCGTGCCAATTTGGAGGCTGCCATGCGCGTTGGCTAGCTCAGATTCATGCCGAGTCCGCAAAAAGAACGTTACATACTACACACTCTCACCCACACACACATCAGTCACTACTTCAAGAGCAGTTGCGCAACAGCGCAAATGACTCCCACGATTAGTATATAGCCAGATGCTGTTAATGCCGATGCCAAGGTGGGCTCCACACCACTGCTTGGAGCTGCACAGGCAGGGCACAGTGAAGTGGCAACTTGGCAGCAAGTCTCCCTGCAAAGATGCCAACAGGGTCTCTAGCCTTCAAGTGCTCAGCAATTCGCTTGTCCTGGCATGTTGGTCAGCTCAGGTGAGGTTCCTCTGCCAAGCTCAGGCAACACAGCATGCATCACACCACATCTGATCGAAGAGGCCGATTTTGCGTCACAGCAGGCCAACATGAATGTTCAGACTGGCACCAAAGATGGCGGAACGCTCAGTTCGTGCATTTTAAGACGCAAGGTTTGTATCAGTCTTGTAGCACCACATTTCCCCCATGCTCGCAGACGCTAGCAGCATGACTGAGGTCAAGCTTCTTGTATAGTTGCAGCTTTTGTTGGTTTTTCTTGGAAGCACTAACAGCTCGACCTGCAGGCGAATCTCCGCTCATGGCTGCTGTTCTGCGAGATCACGCGGAGGTGCCTCCGTTGCGTTGTGTTTGAAAAGGCCAATGCGTCAACACCATTTCAGCTCGTTCAGGTTGCAGATGCCGCCCATTCGCAGACATTTTTCTGGCCTCATGACTCAAGCTTTCTGGCCAGGTCGTGCAGGCATTATGCGAAGCACGCGTGCCTCCGCCATGTTCGAAAGCCTTTGGCTCTGACCGATGAGATGATGAGATGGGTCACCTTGCTTGGATAGAGATGACCTCATAACCATTCTGTCAGTGCAAGTGTCTGGACAAAGTCACAGAAGGCTAGAAGTAGGCACTTCCTAGCTTGTTTTTTCTCTTCTTTCTACGTCTTTCTCTGCAGCATCGAACAAATTTTCCAGTTCCTATCAGTCGTTCGTCGGTGCAATTGGACTATATAGGGTTTAATCGAGTGAACAATGAGACAGATACATGGAGCATCTTTTTTCTTGCCCGGGAAGCTTTTACAAGGGCCGTTTTGGCGTGCCCTCCCCTACAGTACTTCACGGACCAGACTGCACTTCATAGGGAAGCTGCGATGGAGTGTGATGGAGCACTCAGTTTCAATCAGAGATCGCTTTGCAAACTCCAGGCTAGCAGTTGCTTGAAAAGAAGATGGGGCCAAGACGCCAAACAAATGCTGCATTCTTTTGAGCGGTGGCGAACTGTCAAATGGAGCCACAGCCCGATCAGCAAACACCGCAAGAACATTTGGAGGCAAATCATCTCTTGCATTGTTCATGGCAGGCGGTTGTTTTGTTTTGCTCAATGTACGCTTCTGTTTCACTTTTAAAGTTTCGCCAGGCTAGTGAAATAGGCGAGACCAGCGGGGATGGCCAGGCAGACCCACTGAAGGCCGCCACCAATGGCACTACTCCGCTGCCACCTGCTCAGAACTGCCAAACGGACAGAAGCCAGCATCAAGGCACGAACATGTCGTTGACACGCAAAAATTGGACGTTGAAACACATGCCGCATGCCGCTGTTCATTGGCTTTTTTGTAGGCACTGCGTCTTGGCCTGCGAGAGACGAAGTCATGAGGTTTGCCGCCTGCATGCTGGGACTCGGAAACGTCGTGAGAATCTCAGCATTTCCTGGTGTGCGTCACCGGACCATGAGGTCCGGTATGTGGCTGTGGTTTGCGCGGTCTGACAATGGTTGCAGAAAGAACCATGATTGCACCGGACCCTTGATTAGAAGGGTCTGCGCACTGCAACTTAGGTGCTAGCGCACCACTTGTATATCTAGGGTTTCTCTCTGTTCTGTTCCTCATTTGCAGTACCTCAAAAGGACCGACATTGAGACGAGAGGCAACCTTCACTTGATGTTTTTCAGAAACATTCAAGAAACATCAATATCTACGAATCCCCGGTTCAAGTGGTAGACTCCGACCTTTTCACTAATCAAGATCCTGCTTTTGCATTGGTTTCGGAATGACGGCTTGTAACTTTTGGATAGATTCCGTTTCAGGGGCCGTCCGTATCTTCACTTCCGACCATGCGGCCACTGGGATCATGTAAGACGATCCGGTTTGCATCTTCCTCACTTACCGCACATCTATCTATCCGACAGCAGAAGATGCACCGCGTCTGGTTTAATGACTATGGGTTGCCATGATTTAGTATGGTATACAATGGCTCACCAGGATTTGCGACCTTTGCCACACTGTCGGTGAATGCATGAGGGCCTCCGCGGCGGGCCGCGGTGAAGCGCACGCAGGCGCCAGTGAGGTTTTTCCAAGCCATGCAGAGGATATCTGTGTAAGGATGTAAGCCGAATCGACCATGGCAGCCTGACAAGACCTTTCTTCATCAATAACGGAACAAGCTGAGCACTGCCAACTACCTACTGCTCGGACATGAAGTTCAGTGGGGTGCAGGGTTGCACAGAGCTAGCTAACTTTTCTTGTTGCACCTGTTCGATTTTTGCAAAATGGGAGCCACATCATGGGCGTGGACAAGTGCGTGGTACAGCAGAGCACATGCTGAGCTCCGCAAGCAGAGACAAAAGCAATCAAAAGGACATGTGGCCACACTGTGGGGGTGATGCTGGGTGGATGGTCGCTGAGGCCGATATCCTCAGGCAAGCATCAAGTGTGCTTAGCTAAGCTTCCTGCAAAGGTGCAATCTTGGTAGGCCGGTTAGGATTTGCCCCGTGCGACTTAGGCTCGAGACAGATCGCTCCTTCGTTTCTTTTGCGCTGGCTGCAGACATCGGTTCGCGGCTTGCAAGCGAGTAGATGGCGAGCGATGAGCCGGAATCTTGGAAGTTTGGAGTCCAGTCTAAAGCAATGCTCCGATGCAACGCTCCAATCTAGAGTTGCTTGGGGCCCAAGGATGCGGAGAGAGCGTATCTTGTCGAGTGGCTTTCATTGCGATGAGTGTGTCAACGGTTATTGACTTGTTGCATTCATTGTCACGGCTCAGTTGTTTCGTGTTCTTGCATTGAAGCGAGCAACACGTTGGTTGGCAAGTGTGTCAAGTTTATCTCCGACCTCACTCTTACAGTCTGCAGTTCCCAACAGCGGATACGCTTATGGGTTCTAGAATCTGTAAAGCAAAGGTGCTCCGAAATCCGTAAGTGCCAGGTCTAACTTTGTCCGCAATTCAAACTAGTGGGGACGCCACGAGAAGGCAACAACCTTTTCGTATGAACATGTCTTTGCGTACTGAGAAAAATCCATGTGAGCAGGCGCAGTTTCACAGGCGCTCCCTTCTGACGCATGTTCATTGCGCTGTGTCAAGAGAAGGCAACAGTCTGTTCGATTCTTGGCGCTGTGCGAGAGATACACGCAATGCCGCAGTCGTTTGTTTCCCTGACACATGTCGCGCTAACATAATTCCGGCACCCGTGGAGCACCGCAGTTCTCGGACATCAACATGGACTGGTTCAGTACTGTGTCGTTGAGATAGAGAAGGAACGCAACAATCTGTTGAATTTCGCACGTATTTCTGCACTGCGAAATATCTGCGTGTGCTGGCGCATCAGCAGAGCAGTGTTTCCGACGCGTGTTTCTGCACCCTGCGCGTCGACTAGGATTGTATCGGTTCCGCAGTGAGGGAGATCCACGAGTGCACGCACACCAACGCAGCTCATTCCCACGTCCCTTAAACACACAAAGTTCATGAAGGACAGAGCAGCATTCCCATGTGGCGCGCCGCACATCTCGGATGTCTTTGTCTGCATGGTGCGCAGCGACGCGCCTCGTCGCGCACGCAATTAACGATACGGCGCGAACTATACTGAGAATCGGATCAGTGATCGTGCGAACCGTGCAACACGTTCACGGAACTGTGCAAAGACATGTGTCAAGGCAACACTTTTCGTATTTTAATAGACACGTAGAGTCACATAACTCGGAAAGATATGTTCACGCGACAAGGAAATGGCTGTGTTGCTGCGTGTGCACACGTGGATGTCTTTGGCGTGCCAAAGACGGGGGAGGTGTTCCAGCGAAGGCTACATTGCGTATGAGACATGTAAGATGAGATGGGAAGATCGACGAGAGATGAAAGAGAAATGAAGGAGATAGAGCTGGGATGCAGAGGAGGGAGAGAAATGGCAGACTGAGACGAGCCCATGGGGATGAGAGGGAGATGAACAAATGGATGAAACGGGGAAGCGCGGTAGATGAAAAGAGATGAGTTAGGAAGATGAGAGAGCGAGAGGCAATGAGAATTGAGAGGAGGATACGGAGATGGAAAGATGAGCTGGCGAAAGAGAAGATCAGAGACAAAATGGCAGATGGAGATGAGCGATGGAGATGAGAAATGAGGATGAGAGGGAGATGACACGAAGAAATTAAACAAGATGCATGCGAGTTGAAACAGAGATGAGATGGGAACATGACAGAAGAGAATTTTGGAGAATGTGTGAGAAATGAATCGACAAGAGAATAAAGATTGAGAGAGAGGGGATATGAGAGAGAGAGAGAGCAAACTAAATTATACATGGAGATGAATGATGGGGATGAAAAGGGAGATGAAAGAAACAGATGAAAGGGAAAACTTCGAGAGATGAAATATGGGAGAGATAAGACTGAGAAAAGGAGATAAACGAAAACTAATGGAGACTCGTGCGAAATCACAGGACCAGGGGATGAACAGGTAGAGGGAGATGAGATACTGAGAGGAAAAGAAATACAGGAGAAAAGAGATTTCAACTATGTCGAGTCAATCATATACAAGAGTCTAGAGTAGTGAGATAACTCATATGACTCGTTTGCCTTGCATCTCAAAAATGGGTATGCTTTAATTGCCTTTTATTGCTTTCATTCCACTTTATCTTTTTATGACCTTCCTCCCTCATCTCGTACGCCTCCATTCCATCTCTCTCTCGCTCCTCCCCAACATTCATCTCCGAGGTGGGTCGGAAGATAGAGAGATAGTGAGAGGAAGAGATTGAGGAGAGATAAAGAGAAAGACGCGCGAGATGAGAGGATAAGAGAACAAGGAGATAGAGAGATGAGACGCAAAGAGAGATCGTGGGTCGATATGAACAATGGGAATTAGAGAGAAATGAAAGGCAGAGATGAAAGAAATGAACAAATGACCTAGGCAAATCAGAGGGATACCACGAGACGAGGGCCCTCTTGGCGCACACGGGTCTCGGGTCCCTCAAGCCTGCCTTGAAGAAGGAGAATAGGGAGAGGGAGGGAGAGCTTTCTTGTTGGGGAAGTTCCAAAGCTGCTTGAGTATTTTCCCAACACGGGAGGAGCCCTCGACAGGGGGAAGCTTTTTCTTGGCATCAGGACTTGAATGAGGATGGGTGTTTGTTTCCGAGTCAAAACCGCAACTGGGCATTTTCACACAACCGGGGGGGCGAGCAACAGTTTCACGATGGACATGCGACTGGGCGCGCGCCTCGGCGAGAGGGGTCCTCGGGGCCCTGCCCTGCAGAAGAAGAAGAAGAGAGGGAGAGTGCTATAGGGTTTTGTCATTTACGCAAAGCCCTCGTTTGTCCCAGAAACTGAGGACCTGCCGCAAACAAGCTGCAGCATCTCCACCAAGCTGCAAAGCCAGCAAGGCAAAAGGTGAGCTTCACAAGCCTGCACTGCTCAGCCTGCGCTGCTCAGGGTCTTGTGATGGTCTTTGTATGTCTTTGTTGCACGGATGTTGAATCATGGTCCCATGATGTTCCTGGTCGTCAAAACCCCGGAACAATCGAAAAACCTAAGACGCATAGCCCAGCTACGTAGCAAGAAGAAGTCAGGAGGACGTGTGAACAGCACACGACCCTTAAGAAAAGCCGAGAAGACGCGCCGAAACGGACAAATTTGGTGCGAGACAAGGAACTCATCGAGAAAAACATAGCCAGGTTTTTGGTTACGCGATAGACCTAAGCCCTTCAAAACGTCGAAAAAGCTCAGGGTTTTCGGGTATTTCAACGACCCACGCCCTTCAAAATCACGATAAAAAGGAGGTGCTCTGTTCTGTCAAAGACCCAAGCCCTGAACACTTAAAACTTTAATTTTTGGTTTATGCAGAGGTCGAGGTCGAGGTTTTTGGTTATGATGTAGACTCAGCCCGCAGGCCCTTCAAGAAGTCAAACAACGACCCACGCTCTTCAAAATTACGAATTATCGAGGTGTTTTGTTACATTGTAACCAATAGCAGGTTCTGTATTGGTTTTCTCGGTTTTATTGGGTTGGCTCTGGTGTTTGGGCTGAACCAGAGTTCCCAGGACTTGTTGAAGTTTCGGAAGCCAATGCGCAAGAACATTTCTTCCAAAGGAGCTTCTTGAGAAATATGCCGTTCCCAGCACTAAAAAAAATGCGACGTGTGTTTGGTGTCCGAGCGCATTGGCATCAATCAGCGTGCCCAGCTCTGGAGTGTAGTACCCCGAGGGCTGTTCTAACTCAGGCCAGGGTTGCCAGGACTCTCAGCTACTTAGCAGACAAGGCGAACCTTCACCACAAAGAGAAGAACACGTATATTGAATTCTTGAATTCATGTTGGATGCATTTGCCCTCAAGCTTTGCGCTGGGCCGCAGGGCTGTCGGCGAGCCGCACATTGTGTTGCTACAAAAGATATACTCTCTTTTGCGGGGGGGAGGCGTCTCCGGCGGGGGGGCTGCGCCCCCCCGCCGGAGAATCCGGTTTAGCCCTAAGCCACAAAACCCTAAACCCTAATCCCTAAATGCAAAAACCTCCAAAACCCTAATCCCAAAACACAAAACACATTCAAAACCCTAATGCAAAAGATGAAAACCCCAACAAAACCCTAATGAATTAAGGGATTTTAGGGTTTAGGGTTTAGGGTTTAGGGTTTAGGGTTTAGGGTTTAGGGTTTAGGGTTTAGGGTTTAGGGTTTAGGGTTTAGGGTTTAGGGTTTAGGGTTTAGGGTTTAGGGTTTAGGGTTTAGGGTTTAGGGTTTAGGGTAGGGGTTAGGGTTTAGGGGTTTAGGGTTTTATGTTTAGGGTTTTTAGGTTTAGGGTTTAAGGGTTTTAGGGTTTTAGGGTTTAGGGTTTAGGTTTAGGGGTAGTGTTTAGTTTAGGGTTTAGGGTTGAGGTTTTAGGTTTTTAGGGGTTTAGGGTTTATGGTTTAGGGCTAGGGTAGTTGTTTTAGGGTTTTTAGGGTTTTTAGGGTTTAGGTTTAGGTTTTTAGGGTTTAGGGTTTAGAGAAATTGTATCGGGTTTGGGTCCCAATAACGTTTTGACCGAAACGTTTTGACCGAAACGTTTTGACCGAAACGTTTTGACCGAAACGTTTTGACCGAAACGTTTTTTTTTTGGAACCACCTTTTCATTTTGGGGCTGGGGGCGGGCTGGGGCTGGGGCTGGGGCTGGGGCTGGGGCTGGGGCTGGGGCTGGGGCTGGGGCTGGGGCTGGGGCTGGGGCTGGGGCTGGGGCTGGGGCTGGGGCTAAATCTGGGGCTGTCTCACCGAGATTGCTGGGGCTGGGGCTGGGTTGGCTGGGGCTGGGCTGGCTGGGGTTGGGAGGGCTGCACTGGGGCTGGGGCTGGGGCTTTGAAGATTTTGGGTTTTTTTTTGTGTTTCGGCAGGTTGTCTTGGCGTTTGGGAGGGTGGGGGTGTTTGTGACAAATTGTAAATTTTCTGTCCCTGGGCTGGGCCTGACTGGGGTTTGGGCTGGGGGGGGGTTGGGGCTGGGGCTGGGGCTGGGGCTGGGGCTGGGGCTGGGGCTGGGGCTGGGGCTGGGGCTGGGCTGGGGCTGGGGCTGGGGCTGGGGCTGGGGCTGGGGCTGGGGCTGGGGCATGGGGCTGGGGCTGGGCTGGGGCTGCTGGGGCTGGGCTGGG